GACATTCAGATAAAACTGTAACCGAATAGGCGACGTTTTATTGTACTAACAGCGAAAACACCAAATATAACACAACAAAATGGAAAAAAAACACAGCCTTCTGAATATTAAGCGACAGTTGCGAAAATAAAACTGAAATGTAGTAGCGAATGGTAAGATAAACTAGTCACACCATCAAGACGTGTAGCTCCACGCATTAACTTCGTCATTAGATGATGAGTGGGCAGTTATGTGCTCCAGCCGCTTTATCCCTTAGAAAAAACTCCCCGCTTATCACTGAATACGGTATCAGTTACTGTGAAGTCAAAAATACATTTCTTCTGCGTAGAATGTAATACTAACTCCCCGCTCCTCCGTGCCTTAACCTAGTCACTATATCGACTAAGCTATTGCAGCTCTTTAAGGTCGAAATACACGTATGGGTTCTGGCAGGAAGGAATTCATGAACCTCCCCCACACGCCTGGATAAAAAAAAATTACTTACTTACTTAAGGGCCGCGCCATAGCTCAAGCGGTTAGTCGCTGGCTTCCCACCGCGGCGGCCCGGGTTCCATCCCGGGTCTGGTCAAGTGGGATTTGTGGCGAACAAAGTTGCGCTGGGGCAGGTTTTCTCCGAGTACTTCGGTTTCCCCTGNCCCTGCCAATCTTCATTCCACCATTTGCTCCACAATCACCCTCACCTATCATCTGGAGCTGGTACAAGAGGCCAGAAGTGGCCGCAGTACAAGGGACTTAGTCCCACCCCACTAGCAATAATAATAAAATAATAATACTTACTTACTTATGGAGCTGAGCCCTTCTTGAGGAGAAGCCAAATCTGCAGCTACTCAAGAACTTCCCAGCATTTTATGGAACCCGAAGGTTCATTACCGTGTTCACAAGAGCCCTCCACTGGTCCCTATCCTGAGCCAGATAAATCCAATCCACACCATTCTATCCTATCTCTCTATCTATCTTTGAATATTAATATTAGGAATCAAAACAGTTATAAAAATATTTCTTTATCAAGAATTCTCTAGGGCGTTTGGTAAAGAGACTGCTTAAACTTAACACTGTAAGCAAATTTTCTGGTTGTCCCTGTTTGGAAAATATATCTTCCTTCCGAACTTGGAAAATATTTTATCTGAACCCTCGTAAGAGAGGTACAACAGACGCAGAACGAAATAGCAGAGTAGCGTCTTTCTTACCGGTAATGTTTCGTAACACGTATACAGCTGCTGAAGGCTGAAGTCTGTTGTATCAGCTGATTCCCGTCACATGGCCAACAACATGAGACCTTCTACTGCCGCAACCAGTGAAACACTGACCCAGGAGACGCGCTGACATGCCTACGTCATGCTCATGCTCTGTGTACGATAATGCCTGTGTCTTCATTAATCATGACTCTCAGTATAGTGGTGCAAAAACGGGCTAAGTCAAAACGATCTGTCAATGATGATCAAAGGGTTACAAGCAGGACTCACAAGGCCTATGAAGATTATTATCGTATGAGTTTTGACGCCGTGTAGTCCAGTAGAATTTCACCGTCGTCTCAGAGTAACATACTGTCTCCCGTGGGCACCGTTTGGCTGGTGGTGAACCCTTTCGGGATTTTGGGGCGAAGAGAAAATCAAAATTGAAGAACAACAGAAGTACATCAAATATTAATACAAAATTTATTTTTAAATGTGACGCCATTTATGTTTCAATATAGAAATTCAACTCTACAGCGATCTTCACAGATATTCTATAACAGCTTGAATGGAATTTCGTATTTTTTTTAGTTTCTCCCCTTGAAAAAAATTATTGGCGGCATTCATACCGTCTCCCTTGCAAGAAAGAAACAAGTTTGACATATACTTCGACTTTGAAGACGGAAGAAATATGTTGCTCCGAAACGTCAGTGAATTCCTACAGGACTATGTAGGATTTGAGATGCTCAAAGCTCTGGTTATGAAGAGTTCTATCTTCTGGGATATATCGCCATGTGAACGGCTGAAACTCAACGGAAGTTTCGGAGGAATATGTCGCCTCCATCTTCAGCGTCGAAGACTAAGCCAGGCAAGAAACTAGCGTGAAGAAGGTAGCATAGAGAGCTGCACACATCATAAAGTTGACTTCCCTCGGTCTGTCCGTTACTATTTAAGTAATTTGTTTAGGAGGCACGCGGTAGTATAGTTGGTTGAGGCACTGTGCTACAAGCACAGCGGGTTCGACTCCCGATGAGGTCATTGAAATTTTCAATTCACCTAACCCTTCCAGCCACCCTATGGCCCTGGGGTCTACTCAGCCTCTAACAGAAATGAGTACAAGGAATCTTCCTGAGGGTAAAGGCCGACATCACCGCCATCTGTGAGCCGATTGTCTAGAAACTGTGGGAGCCTCGACTTCTCACAACACTATGGACCTCCACGGCCTGTTGCAGGGATAGCTTTACCTTTTTAAGTGATATGTTTCCTTTCAATCTATCGGATGTAACGTTGAAATTCCCACGTGCATCATGTTTGATATTGTTGACTTACGAACAATATTCCGCATACAATCTATATGTGATTATAATCTATTTCCTTACGCATTTTTAAATTCCTAACTCCCTTGGTCCATTAGTCACTACCATCAAACGGAATTTTAAATTTTGATTTTGCATTGTTGCCACAATATTTCACTTACCACAAAAAATACCTTTACAAAAGTTTTATGTTTCTAGGAGATTTATTTGTATACGAGATATCGCGATCCTACATGAAACATCTCTAATGATGCTCTATCTCGGAAGCTTGCACCGCCATGTTGGTGTCAATCAATCACTCATGGAGCTGAGCCCTTCTTGAGAAGCTGACAATTGTGCAACTACTCAAGAATTTCCCAGGATTTTATGGAACCCGAAGGTTCATTACCGTGTTCACAAGAGCCCTCCACTTATCCCTATCCTAAGGCAGATCAATTCAATCCATACCATCCCATCCTATCTCTCTAAGATCTATTTTAATATTGTACACCCACCTACACCTTGGTCTTCCCAGTTGTCTTTTTCCATCTGGTTTTCCTTACCAATATCCTATATGCATTCCTCTTCTCCCCAATTCGTGCTACATGTCCTGCCTACCTCATCCTCCTTGACTTGATCATTCTAATTATACATGGAGAAGAATAAAAGTTATGAAGCTCCATGTTAATGTTTTTTACACGAAATTAAAATTACGACGACTGTGTTGCCTACTGTGGCATGACATTTATACAAAAATTCTTTAAATGTCTTAGCATCCTAGCACTTGTATGGAGGAAACTTGGGGGGGGGGGAAATGCTTAAGTCTGCCGATGTCCGAACTTAGATTCAACCCAGAACCTCCGAAATTCCAAACAAAACCGCTAAAGACTAAACCGAAACAGTGAATTTGCTTACTTTTTGTTGCTTATTTAACAACGCTTTTAGTAGCTAGGCTATACAGATTAAAATGACATGATGTTTGATGTATGATGAACTGAAAACTGTTTTAGAGGAAACTGTTGCATCTTGATGCAGACATTATCCTGACATCTACCTGGAAGGGCTGAAGGAAGACCATGAATAATCTTAGGATAGCCGTCGTCCCAGCCAAGATCCGAATAGAGGACCTCCAAAATAAACATCTAGAACGTTGCCGCCATGCTAACCCGCTCGGTCTTTCATTTTTAATTAAAGAGAAATGTACTTAGAAAAGAAAGTGAACAGATCTACTCCATATAATGAAGGGACACAGATGAAAAGAGTGTAATATGAAAAACTAACAACTTCGCCTTCCCAGAGGAGATGAATATTTATTTTTATTATGTTAGTGATTAATTAAAAGTGAAATTTAAGCAATAACCACAGTGGAATGTAAATATTAAACAAAACCCGTCCCCTTGTTATAGCAACACACAAAAAAGCACACACTTATGCCTGCAGCAAATGTCCTTGAACTTTATCTTCTCGAAAATAAAATTGTGAGACATGAGTTTGAAGCTGGTTTAGATCAATAGTCGATCTTCGGCGATAAATTATTCTGTCATTTTTTGCGACCCTAATTACATATTTCGAATTCCTCATTTTGAATTAATTTCTGAATGAAGACTGAAATCGCACGTCACCTCTTCTACTAGTCTTGTGGAATATGACGCTGTATAGTCCGGTAGAAGTTCACGGGCGTTTCGAAGGAGCATATTGCCTCCATCTTCAGGATGGAAGAGTAAACTAAGCAATCAATATGTTAAAATACATCGATAAACAGAAACGTCGGTGACTTTATAACAGATTTCGCGGTGTAAATTTCTAGAAGACAGCACTTTTCACAGACATCGCTGTGAAAACATCAAATCCAACACGTCATTAGGTTCGAATTCCAGCTCATTCCATTCCATGTTCTGTGCGCGTTTTGAAAACATAAAGATGCACTCCAAACAGATATGCAACAGGGAGAACCTGTATGTTTTCACCTGCGTGTTCCGCATAAAACAAGACATTTTCAAACTTAGCCATAGGATGCTTCAGAAACATGCCCGAAGAATATATTTTCTAAACGGACGCTGTATAGGAAGACACAAGCTCACACGGTCAGCTTATGGAATAATCCCGTGTGGAGGCGGGTTCGAATACCTCCACCGTAGCCCTGCGAGTCGTAGGGGGCGACGAAAAGGGAACCCAGTGTCTGTGGGTATAACTGAGCCACCCTGTTCCTGGGGGATACAAATACTGAAACCTGGCCCTCAAGATTGGGGGAGGAGTCTCGAATCTGAGACAGCTCGGACCTGAGAGTAACTGCGCTGGCGAGGACCAGCACAATTGTAAACGACACACAATTCTCTTGTCAGAAAGGGTGTTACATAAGGACTATGACCGCAAGGGTTCAGACGAGAAAAAAATTGCTGGTCGTGAGTCTCAAGGGGCTATGTCATGATTTACTGATTAGCAGTAAACCGCCAATCGTAAAATAGTCCTGACTCTGACGGAATAAAGATTTAACAGTAAAGGGAACTATCTACAATCCGCCATAAATGTTATCTCCATGACCGGTAAATGAATATAATTATTAATATCATATTCCTTCGTAGAAAATTTATTTTTGTGTATGGAAAATGTTGCCATATTGGTGTGACTCTATATTTCTATTCAGGAGGTACTCGGTTAGAATTTCGGAAGAGACATCGACTACCCCCGAGGTTTTTCTCAGTCTTTTGAGACAAATTCCAGGGTACTACTCTGATCAGGGTAGTACCCGTTACAATTTACCAGTAATCCTACTATTCGACGTTGTATATTCTGAGCTACTTTCAGCGTCGTCAGATAAAAAAGATTTTTTTTTGGTTAGGCTCTAAAAAGAGTTAGTTTTTTTATAATGAAACTACAAGCGTGTACATATATTTCCCAAACTTGGAACATGTTTTCTTCCTGATGAAGGTTGCATATACCTGTCTACCAGACTGCACGCTGTCATAACCTATAAAGCCACAATAATGTGTTATTCACAGTGAACAGTAACTGTGCCACAGAAGGGTCAAGAATATTGCTTGACGTCGCTTACGTTTTCCTGTATACTCCGCTGGATTTACCCAGAATGCTGTGAAACTTGACATCGACCATTTGTTATTCCCTCTATTGCGATAAGGGAAGTGCCGATATGGGAGAGAATACAATTGAATGCATTTCGTGTGATAAGGAACTTGCAGATTAGAACGAGTTTATATTTCGTGAGTACTTTACACAAAGTGCGTTATATCACGTGTATGGGTGCCTCTCGAAGGGGTTTTCAATTGGATTTATTGACCATTTTAACACACGGCTCGTGACTACACTTATCTGTAACGGTCTGACTGAATTACACACTCCAGATATCACTGTAACTACAGAAAACATAAAGTCTTCTCTGTCATCACTGGACGTTTCCTGGTAATTGATTCTAACACTGTCCTCTTACGTTCTTACCGTCTGGCACAATACCCCGCAGTCGAACTAAGGCGAATCTGAGTCTTATGTTAGACCGACGGTCAGTCGGTCAGTCTGTCCCGGAATAAAGCACTCATCTGGGGCTTACGACCAAATTTTTATTACTGTCAGATAGTTGCGGGCTTGTAGATGTGGGCCGCTCCCTCTGATGAGAGGACGGGTCTGTCGTTTACAATTGCTGCTGGGTCTCGCCAGCGCAGTCATTCTCGGGTCCGAGTTCCGTGAGACTCGCGACCATATTTTACTCTCTCAGATTCGAGACTTCCCTTTTCGTCGTCTCCTACGACTCGCAGGAGGTATTCGATGTTACTACATCCAGTGATTATAAAACAATATTTATTTCGTCCATAATTC